GGGGGGGGGGGGGGGGGGGGGCAGGGCAGACTGCACTTGTACCTGTACTTTCAGCACACTACCTGGGAGAGCTCTGCTGCACATGCCCCCTCCCCGCCCAGCCCCAGCTGTCTCCCAGGACCTAGCATGCAGGCACTTAACTCACACACACACCTACTTACTCTATACCCCCCCACACACACACACCCTTCCCCCCTCCCCACACACGCTGGTTCTTAGGGTAATTTCCTCAGAGCTGGAAAAGGTTGGTCCAAATTACCTTAGGCTGAGGTGGGCATTGAACCCAGAGTATGGACATACATTACATTTGTACTGGGAGAAATGCCTTGTGCACTGGCTCTGGTGTACACAGACAGCCTAGGGACTCATCCAGATCAGTCCCCAGAGCCGGTGAACAGGGGTTCTTCCTGTACCTCGTGTCTCATTATGGCCCTGTGCACCACATGTCAAGTGAGCCCCAGAGTGGGGCATATGCTGCTGTGTGGGGGCCCTGGCAAATGAGCTCTGCACACTAGCTCTGGCACAGCTTGATCCATCCAGCAGACCAGCCCAGCAACCCTCATCCAGCCCATGGGAGCAGATGAGTTTGATACCTCTGGTTTGGAACATGAAACTGATTCACTTTGTTTCGGGGGGGGGGCATTATTTATTATAATCTATTATAATAGAATCTTTAAGTATTTCCTTAAAGGTACTACCAGGAACCACTGCCATAATTGCCTCAGATGGAAAAATGATATTTCCTGTTTTCAACGTCATGTTGCATTTCCTCAAGTCTTGTGTGGGAATAAAGCAATCTAGCAGGCAACATTTTAGGATGTAAATATGAACCATCAAGCCCTGACAGTATCACATGCACAGGACCATCAGGAACAATTCCTGTTGATACATAGCAAGTTATGATCGCTGTGAAATTTAGGAGTTGATGCTAGGAAATTGTCTCACTGGGTTACAGAAACCCTGTAAGTATTGTAACAGATGGCCTTTAGTGTGTCCAGTTTCATAACAGAAACATTTTGGTAAGACATGAATGGTAGATGGGATTTTTTTTCTTTGGTGATACTTGCATTTTCTCTTGCAAATGTGGTAGTATGTTTACTTTAGAGAGCCCTGCTGAATATGCCAGCACTAAAATGTTATACACAGAGACTTTTTGCCTATTGCTTTTAATCTTAAATATTTTCTTGAGTTTTGCATTGCCTTCAGAAACTCCATTTTGTATTGCTCTGTAGCTTGACATAAGTGTTCGACCTTTGTATGCTGTATGTGTGACAGAATGGGTGAGAGTGTGTCTGTGGAAAAGGAAAACATCAGCTGAAGAATGCACAGATAAAAGACCAAACAAGAAGCATCCGCCCCAGAACAGCAAGAGAACAACGGCAATCAACCTTCAAGGAAGAACACAGTGATAACACAGCAAAAGCCCAGAAGACTAGGTGAATTGGCAAAGCTATAAAAGATGGGGCAAGACATATTGATTTTGGGTCTTGTTCTGCACGTCATCCTGGAGCATCAGTTCATCTGACGAGATGGACCAGCAGGAGCCCAGCTCCTACTCGTGATCAACTTGGCTGGCCACTAAGTTGATCCAAGTACTGATAAGACTGGTAATGTATACCAGCATAAAACAGAAATTGGGGTATGAATGTGGTCTGTGTGTGTGTATTAAGTGCTCAATCAATAAATGCAGCATCTTGCCTTATCCTCCCTCATAAGGCCTCACTTGTGATTTGAGCAATTGACAATTTGTGTAACACTAGAATCATTCAAATAACAGTGTCCAGTTCATGGAAAATTCCATTTTTTAGGGACTTGTTTTTTTCTGATTTGGAGCAAAACCAAGCATTTTATTTGAAAAAATTCCTACAAACACTGAAACATGCATCTCTAAAGTAAAGCATGGTCCTCAGTCCCTGCAATGTTCATTGAACAGATGGGTAGGCTTCTTGATCTTTTACGTTTCCAACTCCATGGAAGTAAGCTTTGAAGCTCTGGTCTGATTTGCCACGCCAGAGTCATGGAACCCCTGCTGTGAAACAGTCCTCTTAATGGATATGCCTTAGCACTGTGGACCATGGAGTCCCACCATGTGGGATGTTCCAAGGTTGAGGGCTTATTTTTTGTATAGCTCTGGACTAGATGCTAAAGCAGAAGTCCTAGAAGTACTCTGTTTTGGTCCTGAGGCAGTCTGCCAGAAATCTCAACATGATTCCACAGAAATTTTGTTTTACAATCCACAAATTAGTTTAGTTTGAGATGTTATGAACAAAACATTCAGGCTGAATGAACCAGTGATTTTTAATGCAACTTTATTTTAGAAAATTCTGACAAGTTCTTTGAAAAAATCATTAGGCCATTTATTTAGGAGAGTGCATTTTTGGAAGTCTTTGCTGGGGTCTCTTGATCTAGCATATGACGATCTGATCATCAGCTGATGTAAATCAATGTAGTTGCATTGGTCAATGGGGTCATTCTAATTTATACCATATTTTTCATTGGGGAAATATGTTCTAATATTTCCCCAATACATTATACATGAGGGTTGAAAAACCAACCTGCTCAGGACGATTTTAAATTTTGAGTTACAAGAATTAGGATGGGGTCACCCTACATTGTGCTTATAACAGCTAGAATGGAGGACATCAGAAAATGAGAAGTACAAAGTTAACTATCATCAGGGAGAAGAAGAGACACAAAAGAGGACCCAGTACTACAAGTGAGATCTGCCATAGGGGAGGAGGGGGAACAGATGGGAAGGGTAACGAAGAAAAAGGATACACAGGCACAAAAAGATAGAAGAAAAAAATGAATGAAGCCTGGAAAGGAAATCAGATGAAACCAAAAGCAAGAGATACACATTCCATTTTAAAATTTATTAAATAGAAAGTTGCATTTTTTATTTTTTACAATTCAATACAGTACACCGACTATACAAAACTGCTTTATTCCTTAAAAAGTGGTGGAGATACATGGTGGCACAGATTTTCACCATGGTGAGTTAGTTTAGTTCTTGGACTTTTAAGGGGAGGGGAAGCTGTTCGAGTCCTATTCCTCTCCATTTCAGAATCTTTTGACAATAACACTAGAGACTTTTAAAAAGACATGCAATAGTTTTTAAACGGTTTTCCGCAACAGCATATGATTGTCTGATATAAATAAAACAGCTTGGGTCACTGAAGCAGGGATTCTGGTAAGACTGGCTTACCAGGCTTAGAACTGAGGGCTTGGTTTATACTACATAGTTTTGCCAGCAGAAGTCACATTCTCCTGGTAAAACCACAGGTAAACCCCCATTTCCAGCTTCCCTACTGTGGCAGAATCTCTGTTCTGAGCAGGTTCTTGGAGACCAGAGGAATGCATGCTCTGGTCTGCAAGTGACAGAAGGTTTCTGTTGTCACAGGAAAGCTGCCAGAGACTGCATGTAGTGTCCTTGCTAACTATTGGGAGCTATGGCCTCCTTAACAAACTGTGCCTCCCAGGATACACTGCATACCTTGCTGGCAGCTGCTGCTGCAATGAAACCAGGCAGAGCCTATAAGCCATGTGAGAGAGAACATGGTCTGACAGCTTTCCTGTGCTGTCAGACAAACCCAGAATGTAATCTGATTTTGGTAATAATGAAAAACTCTGCTCATCTTATTGCACCAGCTCTGGAAAACATTGAGAAACCTAGAGGTAGGCACAACACAATATATATTAATTACTCTATTAAACTATAGAAAAGAGTGGTAAACATGAAATAATGGTGATCTAGCAACTCAGACTGCCCTGAGTTGCAGTATCATTTAATTAAAAAGTAACTGTGTTGTACTGATAAGTTCATGTACCATATAAAACATACACTACAAATTTCTTGGCACTATTATAGATGTATAGAATTTTAAAACTCAAATATTAACTGGTATAAACGTGACAGTAATGCAAATTGTCTAATTCTCCAGCTTTAATATAGATAAAATTTCCATGAATCCTTAGGAGTTTTCCTGTGTTAAGACTGAAGAACAGGGAATGAAACAGATGCATCAGATATCTACTAACAGCCACTAAAGACAAGATTAAGAGAAACATTAAATATATGTAGAATGGAAAACAGATTTCAGGGAATGCTTTGGTTAAAATACATCGCAGTATGAATATGACAAAACTCAATACATGTTTTGTTACAACTCAGGGAATGGACATACAAATGTACCTACAAGTGTATTACAAGGCAAAAGGGTAGGGCTTTACCATAAGTGAAAGGTAAACAGTAAGCCTGCAGTTGCAGTTCAGTTTTTACCTACTGCATCAACTTATCCCTCTTTCTTTGAGAACTATGTTTATCCATCTTCCTCTTATTATGAGGTAAGCATATATACATAGGGAGTTAGTGTAGAGGAGCTGACACATGGTAAAGCCCTGATGGCTTTTGCCCAATGATAAACTGTTCACATGTCCATGTACCTAATATTTTTGCAGTTCTGTGAAACTCAAAACACTGGTCTGATTTTGCTATGCTAGTTGCAACTGAAACCAGGTATGGCTTTTCATAATAAATGTAAAAGAAACTATACATTTATGCAGTGTTGAAGACAAGTGCAACGTGCCTGATAGTCATGTAATACATTTATAACTCGTATTTAAATTGTAATGAAGGTTTTCACAGCTGTACCACTTAATGGAAAACCATTAAAGTGTTATGTAAACGAAGTCATTTTCACAAACTTGCATTAGTGTTTTATTCAAATCATATAATTTTTCTTTAACACATCTAGATACTGCTGGGTTGCCCTGGAAACTGGATCCTGATCTACATTTAGGTTTTTTGAAGATCCATCAGTAGATCCCACAGGAGAGACTCTTACAGATCCAGCTTCGAGTTCAGCATTGGCTGAAAAAAAAACCAAACAGCAAAAACAAATGATCCTGCATGCTTTGTATTATGCCATATGTTAGTTTTATAGTAAGTAAACTGTCTAATATGTACTGAAAGCTTTGCTCTGACTTCGGTGGGCATTTATATTGGGTCCTGACAGCAAATATATATTTCAGATCAGAATGAGAGAAACATTATTAAAAAGTGACATAGGCAGGACATTCATAAAGGCAAATACCTGATGCTTTTAACTTATGCAAGTTATTTCCTGATAAGCAACAAGATAAAACAGGTAGCATTTCTAATCTAAGGCTGTTGAAATTGCACCAAATGTAGATGCTCTAAGCACACAAAACTCTAATCAACCTAACAGAATGCCGGCTGCTTACCCCAGTGATGAATATGGTCCAGTGAATACCCTTGTCCTGATACTTCCTACCTGCCTTACAAAATGAAGCATGTGGTCTTAAGGAGTACCTCTATTTTTTACAAAGTCTTTGAGTCAGATTAAATTTTCCCCATTAGGTACATAAATGAACTTTACCCAGTGTCAAAGTTGGGGTGATTTAGGTCACTTGTAATTGCTACTGGGTCATTTTCATGTAACAAGGTAGCAGCTGCTGCACACTCCTGAGCTGCCTCCTCCCCTTCTGAAGCTGCTACAAGCATACATGTCTCCCTTGTAGGCACCTAGTGTGATTTTACTGCACCCTCCTCAAATCCTTGAAAATCTATTAATGCATCCACATTTTAACAACTACTATCTTGCCCTTAAGATGGAATCATAAAAAAGTACCAGGGAGGAGGACCACCCACCTTTTCAGGGTCTCCAGCCAAGTGGAATAGAATTGCACTGATGTGCGAAAATCCACTAACACCCCTAACAGATGCAACTATCTGGACCTTGGTATGTGCACATGCATGCATGCACACACACACAGAAGATCCTCCTATAACCACAATAGCCTTTTCTCTGTAAAGGTAACTCTGTGGTCATGTGAAAACATAGTTTTTCCTGGAAGAGTCACTACTCTACCAGGAAAAATCACAAGTGTACAGGGGTTCAGGATATTTCTCCCAAAGCAATAATAGTAATGCCAGGAGAAGTATAATCTAGGAACCAGGGTTAAAACACTCATAGGAAAGTTTCTTCTGAGAGTGACTGTCTGTACATGTTTTCTTCTTAGAGGTGTCACAGCACAGTCCTTCAGCATCCTGGGGTGCATGGCTCCCACTCCTCTTCCCACAGGGAGACTGTATCACTCACTGGACTTAGCTGCTCCAGTCAAGTAGGGAGCAGAACACACCCCTTCTCAATCCCACATTATGCTGCAAGGAGGCACAGGCTGACTCTGAGCAGTCTGGATCAGCCAACCAGAGCTGCCCTGTGCACTGCTGCCTGTCATCAGTGTATCTGTCATCAGGCAGACTGAGGGAGCTTGCAGAGCATGCTGAGATGTATGCACAAGCACCCAACCCCCCGCTTCCCCAATTGTGAAGGATCAGCACTGCAAGGTCTCTGCTCTTCAAGGGCTCAGCATTCATATGCATCTGGGTAAGTTCAAGTGTGTCTGGGTAAGTTTTTCTACCATAAGAACACACCTGGAAGAATTCTCCTAGACCATTTGAACATGTGTATGCGGTCTCTTTTAGAAACTGCATATCCCTGGCCTCTACCTTCACTGACCAAAGTCCAACCAACACAGAAAAAGAAACTGTGGACATATCTATACATGTGCTTTACTGAGGAGTTGACTAAGTAGCTCCACAACAAAGCATCACCATCTATATGTGCAACACTATTAAACCACAGTAAATTAATTAAGCCCACTGTAGGATAGTAATGCCTGACACAAGTACTATCCTATGGCAGAGTTATTTAGTGCTCCACAACACGTTTAGATGATGACTGGGACTGGCTGGGGCACAAGGGTGCTCAAGTGCAGGGGGTTGCGTGCCAGCTAGCCCCACACTGTAGCACCCTTGTGCCCCAGCCAGCCCCTCCACAGGATGTTGAGCCAGGGCAGAGCAGCTCCAGGGCTGGCAGGTTGACCCCCCCACCCCCTGGCACACATGTAAATGTGTAAAAACCCAAGAGCAATAAACTCCTGTGTGAACTGCACCAGAGTGTATTCAGGTGCATTAATAGCATGTGTAGGTGCACTCTGTCTGTACTAGACAAATACTTACATGAAAAAGACACACAAAAAATCCTGTGTTAGGGAAAGGAACCCCTAAAACAGGTAAATGGGGATTTCCACTTTTGGCTACAGAATACTGGCACATGCTGGATTGATTACACTGCTTTGAAACAGGTTCTGTCACTGTGAGGTAGTGGATGGATGAGGATAGTTGCCACACAAGAGAATAAATTATTCATTGGAGAACATGGCCAAAAACTACATTACAGACTTCCAGCTAAGTATATGTTCTGTGCTACATATTACAAACACTTAAACAATGTTATGTTGATTACACAGACATAAAAGAAGTGATTATTAAGATTTCTCAATGAGCAATATATTTGTACCTATCCAACATGCGACTTTATTTCTATAAAACAAAGAGAGGCGACCACTAGGGAACATTATATCTGACATGCACTATTATACTAGCAGAAAATACTAAATCACATTGTATTGTGATTGTGTAAAATCACAATACAAATCATATGTTGCATTCAGTAATACTGAATGCAACATATGAGAGGGGAGGCAATTTTTAAAGTTCATTTGTATCTTAAATCAGAATTTCCTATATTTTGATTGTTTATATTTTTCATTTAGCAAAATTGACTTGGGTTAAGCTAGCTTTCAAGGCAATTTATTCTGTACAGCATTTTGGAAAGCCGTTCTTGGAATTTTGGAAGCAGTTCTTGCCAAAAAGGAAGTTAGTAAAAACAACAACTGTGTTTGGCACAAGTTAACTACTCAATGGGTGCATTTACACGAGACATTTACTGCAGAGTAGACTAATTAGCTCTGCAGTAAAGTCTCAGCATTTACATGTGTGGCCCTATTAGACCACAGTAAAGTAAAACATGCTGCTGTAGATTAGTACTTGCAATGCATGTGTAGATGCTGACAGGGCTGACTGGGACACCGGGATGCTTCACTGCAGGAGCTGCCTGCTGGCTAGCCCCACATTCGAGCACCCTCTTGCCTCAGCCAGTCCCTCCACAGCATGTTGATCTGGGTTGGAGCAGCCCTGGGCTGGCAGGCTGACCCTATGGCCCCCCTCCCAGCTGGGCTGCTCCAATCTAGCTCAATGTGCTGTGGTCCTGGGCACATATGTAAACATGGTGCCTGGGAGCAATAAACTGCAGTGCAAACCACATTGGACTCGATTCATTTCCATTAATTGCACATGTAGACACACATAATGTGATTTATGCTTTAGGATATCATTCAATGTTAGTTAACAATCAATTTTTCTGAGGGGAAAAGAAAACCCTGCCACACGCGCTGATAAATTACCTTGGTCAAGTTCTTTACTGATATTTTTTTCCAGTTCCTGCTGCATCTGAAAGTACATTTTTAAAGATTTTAAAATATTTTAGAAATTAAATCATAAACAATCTAGATGTTTTAAAAACAAATATTAAATGCAACCAAAAGCAAAACCTCAAACAGAGAGTTCATTTTACTTTGAAGAAATTCTTGATGGTCTTAGGATACTGGTTACTGAACAATATCATCTGCATGTCAATATTGACTGCATCATAAAACAATCCGATTCTATGTGATTCATAATTTAGCAGTTAACCACAATCAAATACACGCAAGTAAATGAATAATACACAGCTAAATTCTGTCTTCAGATATATGAGCAAAATCCTTAATAAATTCAGAAGTTTGGGTATATACTTGTTGAGAAAACGCATAATCTACATCCTAATTAGGCTATCATTGTATAAACCAGTTTTGCAAGACAAAGGGAAAATCTGTATTTAAAAATCCCCCCTCAAATTATGCCAAGCAATTTCTCACTATCATTTGAGAAGATTGCAATATTTGTCTCATTTTGTCAGCTTTCTACCGAGATGATTTTACATGCTATGTAGCTTACATTGGCTATAAACACCAGAAAAACTACATTCATCTCTCAAAAAATATTGGTTATAACCATGATTAATACTCATTGCAAGCTTTTCCTACACAGGAATCAGTCATTGTGTTGATTCATGGCTATAGTACATTACAAGTTATTATTTATAGGTGTATTTTTGTAATGCCCAAAATATGTTTTCCATTAAAACAGTCTATGACCTGAAGAATTTACAGATCTCAAAAGTTAACAGTTAGCATACAAAAAACCCACGTAACTTCTAAATGCATGTAATTAGCTAAAATACATTACTATTATAATTATCTTTTGCAAGTAACTAATAATTTTATGAATGACATGGGTTATTGACTCAATATAACAACAAATAATGGAATAGTTTAAATATTGTTTAATACACCTTTTTCTTCCACTTGTTAAAGTTAATACTCACCAGTAGAGGTGTTTAGAGGGTAGGAGGGACTCCTTTGGTAAAAGAGACATTTTAAACATGGTTGGGGAAAAAAGTGTAAGCAGAATAATTCCCTCCAGATAAAAAAGAATCTTGTTGGCACTCAGTGGCCATACTACAACCATTGGATATAATGTTGCAGCAAACTGATTAGAATGCATTTAAGTGCCCTTTGCTAGGCTACAGGGGTAATTTCAACCAAATTAAGTTGCATACCACTGGGGACATCATCAGAATTGAGAGGAGGACAGCTTTGTTTAAAAATTCTATGCCTTTAGAGGCTGGCAAAGGGAAGGAGGGAGTTGGTCAAAGGTCCCTAAGTCCCACTTTATCTATAGAAGGAAACAATGACAAAAAACCTGGGAAGATCACTAAGAGCGCAAAAGCAGTGGATCAAGAAGCAGGAATCAAACAACCAATCACAGAAAATAACTAATCAAGAGGGTCAAAACCCTGAAAAAGAGATATTAAGGTACCAGCAAAGCCCTGTCATTATCTGTTTTTGGAGTGTGAAAAACAGCTACATGGTCCACACAGATCACTGTGTGCCTGCACAGGTATGCAGGAGCTGCCCTGCTTTTCCTCTGTATTTTGAAGTCTCTGTTGAGTTTCTCACTTAGATCTGAGAAAGGAAGAGCAAGCTGGAAGCAAGTTGGATCAGATGACTGAAAAACATGGTTCATGCTTCCAGGAAATGAAGCAAAGAATACTGCAAAAATGTTGTTTGTTGGTGTCAACCTACATCTATCCTTAGGGACACTTTTTTTCTCGTGGAGTAAGTGATACAAAAAAACTTTCCTAAATTTTCAGCAACATAAGAGAAGTATGTTCAGAATTTCAGGAGTGATCCTACAAAGTTAGACACACAGAACTAGAAGATAAAATATGTAGGCATAATATAATTATAAGGCATAATATGATGCATAATACAGCCTGGGGGTAAGGGATGGTTGACACTTATCCTTCTATAGAAAATAAGAGAACAGCCACTTTGTCTTGATGAACATCTCTTCAGACAGAAAGACACTCATTCTCCTTGTATGTCTCAACTGCTAAGTGAACAATCCTTTGAAAAGGAGTCAGGGTTCTTTATAATTTTATTATGGACTAGCTTCTGTAACTGAAGTTTTGGGGATGAGTCAGGGTCACTACTTGCAAGATTCCTGTGGATGATGCTGTGATGAGAAAATACTTTAAAGGCCAGCACAGATGAGTCCCTACAATCTACAAATGAACTCCTGTTACAACTAGTATCTTTCTAAACAAGACAACAGATTAAAAAGTAGTATCTTCTATTTATTGTGAGTACTTCTGTGGGAAAGCCAAAGGTTAGGGCCAGACTATGTAGATCAGGGGTAGGCAACATTTTTTGGTGGAATGCTGACAAAACCCACAATGTCTACCTTGAAAGGTGCCGGAGTGCTGGCATATCAGAAAACCAAAACGAGGGCGGAGGAGTACATAGCAGGATGCACATAGCAGGAGCAGGAGCACATAGCAGATTGAGGCTGTCAGTGGCACTGGGATGGGACTGGGCCCCGAGCAGGGCTGGGGCTGGGCTGGGGCAGTGGGCAGTGCGGGGCTGAGACCAGGGCTGCCGGGCAGCATGTGGCTGGGGCCGTGGGCAGCACGGGGCTGGGGCTTGGGCCAGGGCCCACCGGCAGCACAGGGTTGGGGCTGGGGCCAGGGCCTGAGACATGGGCAGAATGGGGTTGGGGCCCAGGCTGTGGCTAGCATGGGGCCAGGGCCAGGGCCCACTGGCGGCACGGGGGTATGGCCAGGGCCCAGGCCATGGGCAGTGTGGGGCTGGGGCCCGGGCCCGAGCTGTGGGCAGTGCAGGGCTGGGACCCGGGCCATGGGCAACGAGGGGCTGGAGCCC